GACAGGCTAAAGCATCTTAAGCTGCACTCCCTCGAGAGACGTAGAGCGAGGGGCGACCTGATAGAGGTGTATAAGTGGAAGGCAGGACTAAACAAAGGGGACATTACAAAGGTACTCAAACTATCCAACCAGGAGCGAACTCGTAACAATGGTTTTAAATTAGATAAATTTAGATTTAGGCGTGAAATCGGTAAACACTGGTTTGGAAACAGAGTAGTGGATGAATGGAACAAGTTACCAAATATCATCATTAACTCGAATACGCTGAATAGCTTCAAACATAGGTTGGATGCTTATATGAGCAATAGGGGTTGGGTGTAAACGGGACTGCCCAGTATGGGCCAATAGGCCCGCTGCAGTTTCCTCCATTCTTATGTTCTTATGTTCTTATGTCAGGACAAAGAAAGCGAACATCATCATCCCCATTAAGAAACTGTGAGAGATGTGATCCGTTAAGGGTACATGGAGTGGGATGATCCGGAGTAAGAGTGGGATGGCGGGCATTAAAGTCGCCAAGAACAATAGTGGGAACCCCATCATGGAGGTCGTGAAGAACCTGGGGGTCCAGAGAATCACTCTTGAAATGAACATTGACTACACGAAGGGTCCGGTCACCAAGAGTAAGGGAGACAGAAGTAATTCAGACGGGGGTCCATGTGAGTCAGGTGAAGGGAGGCGAACAGATGGAATGGTGTTACGCACAAGGGTGAGGAGGCCACGAGCCTGCTCACGGTACCAAGGCAGGGTGTAAACAGTATAGCCAGAGAGGCGGAGTGGAGTAACATCGTCTGTGATGGTTTCCTGAAGTAGAGCAACATCTACTTGATGGGAGAGCACAAACTGGGCGAGGTGGCGAGGTCTGTCCGGCGAGGTCTAAGTCCCTGGATGTTCCATTGTAAGAAGAGGAGGGAACGGCCTCCGGTGTGAGATGAGTCGGAGGGGCTAGACAGGGCTCCAGAGGAGGTACCAAATTCTGTTGAGAAAAATGGAGAGGGATGGATCCTCCATCTCGGGAGATGGAAGGAGGCGGGTCATCAGGGCTTGCAAAGTGCGCCCCTGTTGGGTCAGGGTGTCCAGAATGAGTTGTTGTTGCTTCTGCAATGTCGCAATTGTTTTCACAAACAAGTCGAGTTGGGCTGAGAGAAGGTTGATTTGCTTGGAGTGGCGATCCAGACGGAGAGTGATTGTTTCCATAGAACCAACTTGGTGTACCTGTGCAGGAGCTGGAGGTGGCAGCGAGGATTGCCGAGGGCCCGACTGGGCATGTGGTGGTGGTAGCGACGGAGAGGGACGGTGAGGGTTCAGTTGAGTAAGAGGTGGTGGTGCTGGTGAGAGACAGCGGGGGTCCGGGTGGGCAGGAGATGGTGGTGACTGTGTGGCAGGGCCGGCAACGACCTTGTTCCAAGAACGGTAGGGAGAGGGAGGGAGGGGAGAAAGGATGGGTGGTAGGGGTGATAGGGGGGTGGTAGAGGAGAGGAGATCAATGGGAAATCCTTGGTGGATGGAAGAGGCGGTGGTGGATAGGATTGAGGTTTGGTTGACAGGGGCTTCGTCAGAGACGAGGGCGGTGGTACAAGGTAAGTTTTCCCCGGGCGAGTGCCAGGACGCTGTGGGTAATTGGCATTCCAGGCGTGGTGACTGCCATGGCAATTGACGCACCGTGGAATAACTGGGATTTTGTTCTGAATTTTCGATTTGCATTCCACTGTGTCGTGAGGACCTGCACAGAAACCGCAGGCGACCATCCTCGTGCACTCCCAGGTGCGGTGTTTCCACGATTGGCAACGACCACAGATTTTCGGGGTTCCGATAAATCGGTCGAGAGGACAGTTGTGAATTGGTCCTACATTCACCTTCGGGGGGAGGGGGCCCACCCACCAGCCGATGAGTTCGTTGGATGGACGTTTGGAGACCAGGTTGATGCGGCGTTCCATGTCCAGTAGTTGTGGGAGAAGAGGGCGAAGATCGTCGATAGGGATCTCCCAGGGTACGTGGCGAACCATTACCTTGGTACGACGAGTTTCTGGGGTGATGATGGTGAACTTCAGCATCACCTCCCCCTGGGGAGCAGGAAAGCCCACCTGAGTGAGCAGGCGTACCGTCTCGTCCATTTGTGTGGTAACTATCACGGCTGTGGGACCTCGGCGGAGGCGAAGTGTTGAGTCCTGAAGTGGAGAGCAGTGACGGAAGAACCAGGTCGTCCGTGTGCTCAGAGGCAAGTCCCGAGGAAAGGCGAGACGACGAAGGCGCGACGGGGCAGGGAGACAAAGGGAATCCCCTATGTCCATCGTCGGCGGAGGGTCGGTCATTGAGCCACATGTAAGCTCACTTGGGGACCCCGATGACAGGAGGAGTCCACCCTCTACAGCCCCAGAAGGGGTGCAAGGGGGAGCCGTGGCCCCTGCTGGAGACCCTGACTTCTGAGGTTTCTGCTTCTTCTTTGACGTGTCTTCAAGAAGAAAGTCGTCAGCATCACTGTCACCTACTGCCGCCGTTTCCA